CCTCCCTAGTCATTTCTACTGGGTGTTTTAAGAGACTCATTTGAGCTAACTTTTACTTATTCTTTTACTTGGGCTTCTCCGGTGATTCTTTTGTTGTTGTTTTGTATGTGTGTGTGTGGTTTTTTTTTTTTTTTCAAATCAAGACAGGGTTTCTCAGTGTAGCCTTGGCTGTCCTGGACTCAGTTTGTAAACTGGGATCTGCCTTGAACTCACAGCAACTCACAGTGATCTCCTGTCCTGATGGCTTGGATTAAAGGTGCATACTACCATTCCTATGTTCTCCAGTCATTTCTACTTGGTCATATAAGCCTCTGATTTGCTGAGTTTGTCTACTTGCTTATTCTTCCTAGCTGCTACTTTTATTTATACTTTTGATTTTGCATAGCTACACATTTAATAAAAACTGCCCATTCAATATAAAAGTAACTTTTACTCTCCAGATATAATTGTCGTCTTAGAGGCTTAGCACCTCAGGCTGCTTAACCAAGGCCTAGTTTCAGAAGCTTCTATCCTCAAGACTGTTCTAGGCTTAGAATGCTTTCAGCCTTTGAGACTTATTGCTGAATAAGCTCACCCTTTCTAGTTCTTTCTGAGCTCTGGCTGGCTTGTTCAACTCATGTGTTCTGGCTAAAACCCATCTCCAAGCAGACTAATACAATCTGGCTTCTCTTAGTTTCTCACTGACTAACTTTGCTTGTCCTCAAACTAATTCTAGCAATCTTTTCTAATCTTCTGGCTCCTTCTCATTCTCTGGTTCAAATTGTCTATACCTGTGCCTAGTTTGTCCTCTCTTCAACCTTTCTCTGTGAAACTCTCTTGGTAAAGCCTGCCTCTGAATTCCAGAAACTGAATTGCCTTGAATTCAACTCCACTGTATTGCCTCTCAACTCCCTGACTCAACTGAACTGCCTAAACTGAACTCAGAGATCCTCAAGCCTTTGTTTCCTAAGTGCTGTGATTAAAGGCATATACGACCACACCTGGACCCATGCTTTTCTTTACCCGAAACTTCTTCTATTCCAGGCTGGCCTTGAACTCTAGAGTTCTGCTTGCCTCTCACTCCTGGGAGTAATGTCATGTCTGTGTTCAAGCCAGATCATACAGACCAAGAAAATCTTTGGATGTGATCTCTTGCCAGAGCAGCAATGTTTTAAATTAAAATGCTGCTACAATTCGATATTGAAAGTATAAATACAATGGACCATTTCTCTATATGGAAGATAAATGGTGTAGCTATCAAAACCAACCAGATGATATTTCTGTTTTGAAGGAGTTACTGTAATATAAAGCAAAAGGTGAAAAGGAAAGCTAGAGACAGGACTACATCTGGTGATTGTCATTCCCTGTGGCTGAGTTGAGAAAAAAAAAATAAAGGGGGTGGGGGCGGTAACTTCTGGAATCTGGCAGCCAAGGTTTATTGCCTACAGCTTTCACAGATATTTCTCTGTCTCTGTCTCTGTCCGATCCTGACTAAGCACTTCAATTCTGGAAATGGAGAAAGGCTTTGTACTGTATGCTTTCTTAATGCAGCTATAAAAATGACAATTTCTTGTTTAGTGTTGGGCCTGATAAGGCCTGCTGTATCTACCTGAGCCTGGCTCGAGTTTGGAGACCTGTCTTTAGCTTCCGGTTTAAGAGGGGCTACTTCCGGGCAAAAGTGATCCAGCATATCTGCCTTAAAATTAACCTTGCCAGCTAACTGTTACGTGGAGTTTTGTCACTGGCCCACCTCTCCTTGCACTACCTAACCTTGCCCTCTATGTCATCTTACCTCACTTCCTTAACCCTGCCTCCTGACCCAAACCTATAAAAAGGACTGCTTTATTCAATAAACCGAGTTCCTGCTTCGACAGATCTCCTGGCTCAGTGGTGTTTTATTCCCTGGGGCATACGGGGAGGTCCGGGCCATCGACACTCATCATCCCGCTCAGCCATGGAGGGTGTCCAGCTGGACTGGCCACCCTCCTCTCAGCTCCACCTGGCAGTTTAGTATCCTGGATTGTGCCATTTCTATTTTGCAGTTCCAATAGTGGCAGGCCCCACATGTGTCAAGGTCTTGAGGATAGGACTTATCCCTATTTGCCTGTTGATATGGGATGCCGGCAAAGGGGTGATCAAGGCAAGTCACTGAGGAGGTCAGAACCACCCTTTCCTGGTTACATCCAGTACATGGCTGACCTCTGCCCCTTAAGAACTCACCCAGCTCCTCCAGTGCTTTTCTTGGACAATGTTACCAGCTGTTTCCATTAACATCTGTCTTCATGAACCCTGTGGGCCCTTACTCACATGAAAGTTACAAAACATTTTTCTTTTTAATGTATTCTTTCTAGGTCGCATCCTGCACATTCCTATGACAACACTGTCCCCAAACCACTATGTGTTATGTCTCCCATCCCCTGGTCTTCTATGGTGCAATGAAATCATCAGTCCCTGTCCCTAACTCCTCCATCCAAGGTTTTTGTATCCCCATAATGGCTAACCTACAGGTTTACCTGTAGGAATAGAAGAAATTGCCTGGAGGCTAAGAGAGAAGCAGAGAAAAAGAAATATCTTCATGTTCCTGTTATAGAATTAAGTCTGCCAAGATCAGCTCCTCTTTGTAGGATTAGGCCTGCTCCCTGATCAGGAGAAACAGCAGGGGCCTTTGGGAAAGCACTAGTACAGACACAGCTCCTGGCTGACAACTTCCAGGACTCGCTTGACCAGGTCATGGCTTCCACACTGCACAGCCTCCAGTCCCCCCCAGCAGTGGATATCCTCCCTTGTCTTACAAAGCAGGAGAGCTCTTGACCTGCTGACAGCTGGGCAGGGAGGGACTTGTGTTGTACTGGGGGAGGAATGCTGTTTCTCTGTTCATGAATCTGGGCTGGTGGAACAAAAGATACAGGTATTAAGGATCTCCAGTGAGATCTCCGAGCCTGCTATGCCCAAGTACTCAAGCTCTCTGGTAGCTTGGATCTTCCCCATTTTGGCCCTTTACTGTCCATTGGGACATTCCTCCTCTTGGCCCCCTGTTTCAATTTCTAAAAGAGAAAACCTCAAAGCCAAGTCAGTTTCCCTGCACGGTCAAGGGGGAGAGAGAGGGAGGGTGAAAGGAAAGGAGGGAGATGGAGAGACAGACAGAGAGACAGAGGGAGAGAGAGGCTTTTGTGACAGAGAGTCCACCGAAGGAAGAAAGAGGGAAAACACACACTTGGATCTCCCACAGGCTGGCTGTGGGAGAAGAGGAGCTGAGAGCAGTGAGCAAATCAACGTGAAGAGCCTGAGAGTGAGAGCCATGTGCAGGAATTGGACTCTAAGTAGAATTTAGAACAGACAAGTGGTTTGCACATCCCTCAGGAGTGGTCTTGGCAAAGCTGCTTGCTTTAGAGCAGGCATTGGTGAGAGCAGGTATGGGCTGGAGTCTGTGTTCCCACCCCGCTGTGACCTGCTACAAGTACAGCAACCATACAGGAGTGAAACAGGAGAAAGAAAGGAGAGGTTTTCATGTTCTCCCATCACTTGGGCAGTGTAATGAAGCAACTTAAAGAATTCCCACGAGGTGCCTGAATGTCCAAAAGGCAACACCATTTCCATGAGTGAAGAGAGAAAGTAAATCAGTTACAAGCCTGATGCCAAAACATTCCAAAGGGCATAGGGGGACTAGACTATTTGGTACAAATAGTGGTACAAAGTGTACTATTTGGAACAAAGTGGCTAAGCTGGTAATCACACACTTGTCAGGCACCAAGAGTAAATGCCTGAGCATGCTCAGTTTCACTTAGGATTCCCGAAGTTCAAGAAAGAGAGGAAACCATGCCGTTGCCGCTTTGCCTGACCAGTGCTGCATGCAGAAAGGCAAATTGTGAGACAGAAAGGAAATCTGTTGCCTGCAGGTATAGAAGGGGACCCTAGTGTGCTCAGACAACGGGAAAGCTCACAGAGTTTCACAACACCAATATTATAATAATGATTAATATGCCACAAAACAGATCTGGTATAAAGGAGGTTTACTATAGGAAGTGGGGAGGGGAAGAAAGAGGGGAGGATGCCCATAACAGACAGGATCACTTTGTCAGGCACACCTGGCAGCCCACCTGGCAGATGCACCAGGCGATGCCAGCAGAGGTTGCTAGGGCCCTGAAAGGCAGGCTATTGGGCCTGCCTGTAAAGGATAGTGGGCTCAGCTGCACAACAACACGTTCATTTACAGTTCTCTCTAGACTATGGAGGGAAGCTTTCTTACCTCTCCCTGCCTTTCTCATACCAGTGTTACAATTGTACAATTGTGCAGAAAAGCTGCAACAAAAGCCTCCAAACAGACAGGTGTACATTTTGTTGACTCTGAGAGTGTTCTTTTAGAGGGAGCCTCAGTTGGACACAGCATGGATGGAGTCTCCTGCAGAAACCGTGAATCTTTAGCATTCCTTCTGTGATGGTCCTTCCTACACAAAATAGAGTAATCTATTCTAGTCATGTAGCACACCCCAAAAGGACAATGGGTTGGGATTAGTCTCACATCCCCACCTGTTCCTGGCTTTCTCTTAGTTCCTCAAATCCATGACCCCTTTCTGATCCCAGCATGGCCATGTCTGGACACATGACATGTGTCCAGAATTGTTTATTGACAGAAAATGCCTGAGGGTGAGCTATTAACACATGTTTATTGTTTCTTTCACTCAACTTCATAAACCAAAGCAGAATTTTCCAAAGATGAGAAATGCTGTTAATGGGGAGATGAAGCCCATGGAGAGAGATGTGAGTGACAAGAGGTGCTGTGTAGTTAGGAACCAGGAGCTGAGGCACAGCTGCATTTGTGTCTCTGGGAAGGTATTTGGGGAAGAAAGCTTGTGGCTAGGTCAGTGCCTGGCAAGGAGACTTGAGGAAGACACTAAGTTGGCCTCTGTGTCAAAGGGTGGCAGTAGGACCTGGGTTGTGCCTCTGTTCCTTCTGAGGACCTGACAATGATTTCTGATATCACCCAGGGCCATGTCCCTGCCAACTTCACATCATTGAGTTTTTTAGTTCATTGTCTCCTTGTGCTGCTCCACTAGTGTCCCAATCCACTCTGAGGTTTTCTGCATGGCTTCTTTCCAAGTGACACATGGCTCATAGCCCAGATCTTGCTGAGCTTTCTTGTAGGTAAAGGTGAAGACACTATTTAAGTTTGTGATCAAGAACCGGTTAAAGGGGGGCCGGTAGTTGTAGACTGGACGCAGCAGGAAGCTCACAGTTTCCAGCAGGAAGGCAAGCCAGCAGCGTAGGGACAGAGGAAGGCTCCAACTGGAATCAAGGCGGAGGCCCCATTCCTTGCTCAGGGTATAATTTAAATCATCATAGCTTTGGTGAGGGGTGTCATCTGAGATGTAGTAGAACTGTCCTTGGATGCTGGGTGACTTCTTGGGGTCTCATAGGCCCCTGGCAGCCAGAATGTGTGCCCAGGCTGCGTTTCCCACATATACTGGGTTGACCACAGAGAATGTGCCATTTTTTAAAGCATGCTATTGTTCTTGAGTGCTGCATTTACCTTGAATGACACGTATGCACATTCTTCCCCATAGATGAGCAGAAGTCTTAAGGCCCAAGTGTGCAAAGTGCCACCATTTCCCAGGGTGCACCCACTGGCTGCTAGCACTTCCCTCTCGGCCATCTTTTTGCTGTATGGGTATGGATGAGACCATGCACTCTCTAGATAGTCTTCCTCAGAGCCATTCAGGACAGGCTCCTTGTAGTTTGGTCCAGCCACACTTACTGAGCTGCAGTAGATGAAGACTGGCACACTGGCTTCCACACAAGCATCCAAAAGGAGCTGAGTACCTGCTCACAGGAAGCTCACCATCACTGTTGGGAAGTCAGCCAAAGGGCCCACTGAGGCAGTGGAGTCAGATCCATCTCCACCCCAACTCCAGTGGAAGGGTTACCACAGATCTAAATGCATTCTTACCTGACCTTGACTCCAATCCAACATTCTGTGACCATGAAATAACCCAAAATGTAAAGAGTGACATTCATTCTGGAAAACAGATTTCCAGGTTTCTACATTCATAAAGCTCTCTCTCCATCTCTGTCTCTCTCTGTGTGAGTGCATATGTCTGTATGCTCCTTTTTTTTTTTTTTTTTTTTTTTTTTTTGTCTTTTTCAGTGCTCGGCTCTTCCACATGTTATACAGGCCCCTGCCACTGAGCCTCTGTCCTAATTTCTTTGTGTTGCTGTAATAAACACTATGAGATATAATAAACAACAAGAGGAAAGAAGGGACAGGGCTCTCAGCTCTCACTGCTTCGGTGGAAGGGGTGTGAGCCCCAGCTGAAGCTTGTAATAATTTGTAATAAAAATATCCTCATGTGTTTTGCAACAGACTCGACTCCTGGTGGTGGTCTTTTGGGGTATTGTGATTCAGGCATAACATACTTTGAGGGCTTTCTGGGGTCCCCAAGACTTCCTAGGACTCCTGAGCTGGAGGTTCTGAACCCTGGGTAAGCACTTTTGTCTTGGTCAAGTTCTGTGTCTCTAGTCTGTCATTCTGTGTATTTTTGAGATCTTAAGGTAGTACACAGTAAGTGGCCAAGGATCAGTTGTGTCAGTATACTGGCTGATGAGCTGGCAGAATGAGGCCATGGGGATCTCAGGAGATGTCCCAGAGCAGTGGGGCAGTGCTCCCCAATAGCACTGTGAGGGACACGGGGTCCCAAATCTATTTGATAGGCCTAGAAAGTGGGTCATTTCCACAAGTGCTGGCAGGATCTGTTTTTTTTTTTTTTTTTTTGTCTTTGTGTTTCTGGCTGTCTAGCCACAGCTGAGTGAGAAAAGAAAGTGCTTGAAATTACAGCCGGAGGAAGTAAGAAACTGAAAGACCCCTGCCTCACCCTAAGTTAAACATAGCTAACGCCATTTTGTGAGACACCACTGTTTTGTAAAACTCTGAAGGCCAGATGAGAAACTGGAAAATTACTGAGAAAACCTAGCTGTGTCACCCACTGGGATATCTGCGGTCAGGCTGCCCCAGTTGAGCTAAAAACAGTTTGTGTTAATCACCCTCATAGATATCTGTGAGACTGTTCCAGTTAAGATAAGGGTCCTAAGGAAAACAACAGATGGCGGGCCACGTCAAGGGGTCATCATGACTGTTTCGACCACCCAGTTCCTGGAATCTTGGTGTCCCTGCCAAACTTTGACGCAAATCGTGGTCTCATGTAAACGTACCAATCAGCCCCCTGTAACCATGCTTCTCGCTTCTGTACCCACGCTTCTGCTCTAAAACCCTATAAAAACCCCAGCTTTTCACCCAGGGGGCGCGCAAAGTCATCCGAATGACCTTGCTGCCCCGGGTACCCGTGTATCAAAATAAAAGCCTCTTGCTGTTTGCATCCGAATGGCCTCGTTGTTCCTTGGGAGGGGGTCTCTCAGACGGAAGATACCCAGCCAGGGATCTTTCAAAACGTTTTGTCTGTCTGTTTAAATGTATGTATGGTCAACATATGTTTGTTTTTGACTGATCTTAAATGGTTAATATGCTCTGTATGTCATGGTTCTAGATTAAGAGATATTGGATGTGTTTAAAGGTTAAATTTAAACTCTTGTTTAGAACATATGTGTGTGCCTATGTGTTTATAAGGTCTATAAATGCATGTGTTTAAATAGCAACAATGTAGATTGCCAAGTGGAATGTGGTGTGTGAGATTTCCATGTGGAATGTGATGTGATGTGACTCTGCCATCTTGAGGTTGCCATGTGGTGTGGGTCAGGGAAAGAAAAAAAAAAGGATTACAGAACCTCCTAGTCAAAATGGATTTCATTTCTCATTCTATTTCCTTTTAGACCAAGGAGACACATCTCATTTAAAATTGGTATTGGTTTTAGAGATTGGATTGTTTACATTGGTGAATTTTGGTTTTAAAATCTGGTTTTGACTTTTAAATTATGTTTATGCTTTGTGATTTCACTCCTAAAGATGTTACTTTATTTTGATATTACAAAAACTGGTTTTGGAGAATGTTTACATGTTTAAGGCTAGGAAACATTTTAAAGTTTATCAGGTATTTTAAATAATGGGCTTGGGCAGTCTAACAAAAAACTTGGAACAGTTTCTCAATCCTTTGGGGCAGGACAGAAAAAACCTTTGGTATTCATTTTATTAATTTTACTAAATGAAATCAAGTCATACTGTTTGAGCCAACTGAGAAAATTGCAGTTTTTGCAGTGTATCATGTGGAGAGCTGCTTGTTTGTTAAGCTGCTTTATTTATAAAAAAAAAAAAAACAAAAAAAAAAAACAAAAAAAACATGCTTTTACCATGGCCTTCACCTTGAGACAGAGAAAAGAGGAAGTTTCACTAAATTCCTTAGAACTTGCTTCAAGTTCCTTAAAGTTTGTTTATGTCCCCTGGACCATATCTGCTACAAGGAAGTAATTTCAGAAAGAGATTTTGGCAGTTCCAGAACTTCTTTTTGTATTGATATGACTTGTTTTGCTTTGCTATAAAAAAAAAAAATAAATCATTGAATAAGTCCACACTGGGCTCCAGCAGGATCATGTCAGGACCGAAAGAATTTTGATGGGAGTTTTTATGTTGTCTGAAAAGCAAGAGAGAAAGCAAGAGACTGGGATATTAAAGAAAAGACTAGCTTGTCTAAAGTAAGAATGTCTGGTTAAGCCAGAAGAATGGCACTAGGAAAAGCTAACCTGAAGGTATATGGAATGTTACGGAAGGTCAGTGCATGTATGAAAAGCCAGAGGCATATGAAGTGTATTTATTTACTCTGGTTCTTCATACCTGCAAATATGATTTGAGAAAGAACTGTAAAATATGCTGTTCTTCATGTAAAAGGCTGGTGATTCTTCAATGCAAAATGTTTTCTTATGCTCTTTAAAGGGGGAAGAATTCTGGCCGATAGATTTGGTGTGGCCAGAATAGTTCGTACAGTTTAATATTGTTCTGTACTGTTCGGTTATGCAGTTGGTTCTAAAACTTATTTAATTACAATGTTAGAACTTTTGGTTATAGGAAATTGTGAATATTCCACAGCTCTTGTTGTATTGTGGGAGGTAGCAATGCCATCAGCTATAGCTAATGGCTATGTTTTATATTGTCAGCCACAACCTGTAGTGACACGTAGCTAGCCGCCATGTTGGTTCAGAGAGAAAGAGGGTGGAGCCATGGTTTTGCCACCATCTTTGTTTAGGGCTACCAGATGTGTTCAGTTATCTGATTAGTGCTAAGGGCAAAGCTTTTTGGTGTTCAGTTTTATTGCAAAGTGGTAGGATCAGCCAGATTTGCTATCCACTCTATGAATTATATCTGGTTAAAAGTTTTGCTTTGATTGTAGTTCAGAAAGATATTTAGAGTTATGTTAAGGACTTCAGTTGGTTACAATGTTGAACTTTACCTAGTGTCTTTGTTTAGGTTTTTTTCAGGTTAAGCCTAGGATGGGTAACTATGAAGTTTGCCTATGTAGATCTACTTGAAATATAGTTCCAAAACATGCATCTAAGGAATATGCCAGAACTAGAGATTATAGCATTCTGTTTTATATGATGCAGTTTAGAGCAGATGATAAAGATAGACAAAGAGTAACTCACATATGCTGGCCCTCAAGCTTGCTGGAGAGCTGATGAATATGGCATGTTAACATATGTGAGCTTATTATGACAGAGTCCCAAAATCCTGCCAGTAACTCTGCCAAGGTTTGCGAGAAGATTTGGGCACAACAACAGATAACTGTGACTCTGGATTGTGGTATGCTAACCACTGGGCAAAACTGCCCCAACTGGCCCACTGCTAGGGCCCAGCCTAATCTGTGGACAAAACCGTGAGCACTTGGAGAGTTATTGTTTCACAATGTGGGAGGCAAGGTGAAGTCAATCTCTCATGTTCCTCTTTCCACAGAAGCAGTCTCTCATTTTCTGTGCCTGGCTGGACCACCTCTGCTCATGATTCCATGAGACCACAGGAGCCAGGGACACTGCCCAGGTGATGGACTAACTAGTCATCTCTGTCATTTTGATTGGTACATGGATTGGTACATTTATTTAGCTCATAATTTATCCTTTTCAGGTCTCTGATCACATTGATGGCTAAGCCAAGTTTATGGTAGCTTTGCAGCTAAAGAGCTGACAATTAGATCCACTGTTATCTCATTGGTCAGTTCATTAGCTAGTAAGAACTACTGGGTACTAGATCCTTTATTTAGAAAAGCAAAAGGTTTGCCTTGCTCACAGGCTTCATGTTAGTTGCCTGTGTCTTATGGTAAATAGCTGGATAGAAAGATGTGGAGTTTATGTAGGGTCTGAAGATATAGGAGTTTAGGTTGTTAGAATCTAGAAAGTGTTTGATGGTCTGGAAAAAATGTTTCCAAGTTAGTAAATGCAAGAAAGATTGGAGAGTTTGAGTAGGTGTTTTAAGATATATGAATATGAATTGTAAAGATATAGAAAAATGATTTAAGGCACATTAAAAATGGGAGATATTTTAGATTTCTCCCCTCCTCTTTCAACTGGTGTACTTATGTTGTCATAAGATTTCAGAAGTTCAGAGTTTTGACATTGATCAATAGAGTTCTGATAAGTTGATGGAGCACTGACTGCTTATTATTCAGTCACAAGCTTGGGATTTTAATTTTCTTTAGTTGTCTTCTGGAGATAGACTTAAAGGTGCTTCTCATCATGCTAAAAACATGTTTCATGTATATCTGACCCAAAAACCATAGCTTTTACTATGGTATTCTTAATATCTGCCATTTCTGAGGCAGACTTTGACACAGGAATATCTTAAACATATTCCTTCTAGTTGCTTTGATTAAGAAAAGTTCAAGCATCCAGGGCTTAGCACTAAAGTCATTGATGTATTTCTGCCTAACTTTCCAGTGTGACATGGAGATGGGGGCTAAAAGTAGATGTTGAGTGTACAAAAAGTAGCCAAGCTCCATTGGTGGCTGATTACAGACAGTTGTGCCTACAGTTAAAGCGTTAGAGTTTCAGACTCTGGACACACTTAAGTTGTTTATAAAGGATACAAAACAAACAGCTAACTGATGCTCATTCCACTGGATGTAGTTTTACCTGTTACTCTCAGAATGTTGTTTATATTAGATTTGCTGATATGCTAACTTTTCTGAGTTTTTTTTTTTTTAACATATATTTCCTTTTGTAAACTAAAAATTCAACTGAGTTTAAGGAAATCAAAAAGTCATGAGATCTGGATCTGGCATAGCCCAAATGAACCCCAAATCAGTTTTTCCCTGGTCTTGGGATTCCACACTTTTCCCATTTACTAGACAAATTTTAACTTCTGTCTCTAGTATGAATTTGTCTCAGCAGATTTTTTACCTGGTTGACTCTATTCATGGATCGGCTATGGACTACAAGCTGAAATCTGGACTGCTGGAAGCTGATATGATTGCTCCCTGCCTCTTCAGTTGGATCAAATAACCAGATGCTTCTGAGAGCTGCCCCATTGCCCAGCCTTTGACTGGCATTTCAGCCTTCCTAGCCCCTGATGCCAAGAGTCCTGTTGTCACAATGAAGCAGTTTCAGAAGATGAGACCCTCGGCCCCAAATCCCACCTAGCAGGCTGAAATGGTAAGTCAAAACGGGCTAGCTGACAGCAGGTATTATCTTGGAAACTTGCTTAGCTGGAGTAAGAACTAGTATTACATACTGGAGAGATGCTAGAAAGAAAATATTCCAGAGGATGATTTAAATCCTGGTATAACAGTTCTTCTTGGCTTACTATCCATATATCCACCCTGAAGGAACCCCTACTCATCTTGATTTTTACCTTTGGGTCTTGTATTTTAAATCGGCTGATGGCTGTCATGAAGGAATGCTTGAGAGCAATATGGATAATGGTATTCACATTCCATTATGGAAAGATAAATTTGGAGGACTGACTCAAGAGGTCATATCTGGAAGACCCGAGATTGCATCTTCAAATGATCATGAGCAGGGGGGAATGAGAGACCAAAGACTTAAAAAAATCAGTGGGTATTATTTTAAAGTATAAAGCCTGAAGGAAGGATAGCTAGGTAGAGACATGTCCAGTAATGCCCTGAGAGGAAGAACTAGTCTTACTGCATTCTTTTCCTGCCCACTAGAGATAAAGTTGCTAGGAAAGTGGCCAATCCCCCTAGGGAGGGACACCAGGTCATTAATGGTTTGGGGACCTTCCTATAGCCAATCAATTCAAAATGCAACATCCCTTTTGCGTTTCGACCAATAGATGCTTGCCAGGCAGCATGCCCCTTGCTTTGGGCATGCTAGGAGGGACCAGAATCTTTAAATCACCCAACCAACTGGAGCACAGGGCTCTTAACTCTTACCAGTTTGGCTGTGTGGGGGTGTGAGCCCAAGCTGAAGCTTGTAATAATTTGTAATAAAAAGATCCTCATGTTTTATGCAATGAAAAAAAAAAAAAGAGGAGAGAAGGGTTCATATGGCTGACACACTGGATCACAGTTCATCCCGAGGAAAGTTGCTGCAAGAACATAGAAGTCATGGATGATACCACTTATGACCTTGCTTCCCACTGGCTGCTCATCTGGCTTACTCAGATAACCCAGCAATACCCTGCTCTATGTAGACACAGCCTACAGTGGGCGGGGCCCTCACATATCAATCATTAATCTAGGAAATAGTCTACAGGCCCATTTGATGGAATCGGTTCCTCAGCTGAGGTTCCTTTTTTCCAGGTGACTAGTATGTGTCAAGCTGAAGAAAACTAGCCAGTGTTTTTACTTCCCAAGATGTTCCTTTGTGTTTTCTGAAAATCAATATCAATAAATAAGTTTGTTCATATTAGGCAGTGATTGAGCCTTTAGGCTATGTGTAATCATACCTTTATGATTACCAAAAACAACAAAAAAGTTCAACAAAAGAGTTCACAGTGGCAGTGTGTGGACAGGCACACACTGTAGGTGGCACACAAATTTGTAGGTGGAGTCTAGTCACTTTGGTGTGGAGAGACAGGAGAACTGTCCTGGCAATACGAGTGTCATGGGTGTGTCTTTATGTCCCTTTTCTCATACTGAGTACATGTAAGAGTCTTCTTCCTTCATCTCTCAGCCTCTAAACACCAAGAACCTCAGCCCTCAGTCTGCCAGCTGGGCTGCCAGGAAGATGCATCTGACCTGCCCAAGCACAGTAGGTGTTCCATGGTTGGCACTGTCCTTTCTGTCCTCTTGCTACTTGGCAATACTAATTTTCCTAGCTGCTCCAACTCTTCCTCCAGATGTTCTCTCCTTACCTTTTTGTTTGTTTGTTTTTATTTTCCCACCTACTCCATATCTTCCTCAGGTACTGTACCTTTCAGATTGACATCTAGGATGGTCTGTCTGGGAATGATCCCGAATGCATCAACGGCAGCAGCAGTGTGGATGACAACAGAGATGCCCTGGCAGGCTCTTCTCAGGCACTGGGCATCCAGAATGTCTCCTTTTAGCACTGTCACCTTGGTTTTTGTCTTCAGCTCTGTGGGAGACAAAGCAGGATCTTGGGAAGCTTTCTACATGAGGTGGAATTTTCTTGACACAGGTGACAGTCACCGAGGCCTTCAAGGGCAGCCATAGTGAGAAGACACTGGGGAGGAGGCCATTCTACTGAAGGAACAATAAATGCACAACCATCATAAGGTAGCATTTGTAGGGAAGGGCCTCACATGTGGATTTGAGGAGAAGCCAGGCAGTGTTATGTCTTGGGAAGCTGAAACAACAGTATCAGGTTGTAAACTGCACAGGTCTGAAAACATGAGAGAAATCTGGAGAAGCTCCGTGTCACGTTATAGATCATTGTTTGGCTGCTTTTGCTGTTCTTGATGTGCTACACCAAATTAAAACTGGCAACGGACCAGCTTATACCAGCAAGCTTTTTCAATTTTTTTTCCAAAAAGTTAAATATTAAGCATGTAACAGATATTCTTTGTAATCCTATGGGACAAGACATGGTTGAACGTGCCCATGCCACCATTAAGATACATTTACAAAGGACAAAAAAGGGGGAATTATGTCTTCCTCATTCATCCAGAGCTCAATTTAAAATTTTCAACTCTAGACAAACATGGCAAATCTGCAGCTAAACATTTCTGGCACCCTAAAACCTTCATGGTTAAATGAAAGGATCCTTTAAATAATTCATGGCATGGGCCGGACTCCATTTTAATTTGGGGATGAGGATATGTTTGTGTTTCTTTTGCAGGTTAAAGATGCTGCTCCATGGCTGCCAGAGAGACTGGTGCAACAAGTGCATTATATCAAGGAACAAGATCCTTCCCCAAGAGAGGATATCACTGATCCTGTTGCACCTGATTCATCCAGTGAAGGCTAAATTGCACCTTTGGGCCTTAGTGTCCAACCCCTCTCTTGGTTGCTGGTTTGGTACTATTCGTCTTTATAATTGCCAGATGTGTCCACTTAGCTCGACAGTGCCAGGTTAGATTTAATGATACTACGTACAAAGTCCTTTTGGCCACTGAACGGCAGCATGCTGTAAATCCCTCACCCCAGAGGGGGTTTGGCTTGCCCAGCTCAAACGTCAGCTTTAACCTCTCCTTTCCTGTGTGATGGGCTGGTTAGTCAACGACGGGTTCTGAGTGATCGTATATTTACCAACCTAAGGCTTGGAAACCTTTGTTTCTACCACAGACAGAATTCTGCCTAAAATGGGCCAGCGTGAATGTAGGCCAAGTCACCTGCTGTGCTCTGCCAAGACAGGGTAAGCAAGTCCTAAATAGTTTTTGCTTTACAAATATGTCTGTCAAATATACTAGGCTGAAACACTGAAGATGATGCTCCAACACTATAGAGAGTTTTGGGTGGCTGTCCTGTCCAAACAACAAACTGTCTCTGTCAAATTTTAGGTTTTGGAAGCTGCTAGCCTGCGCTTCTTGTTTAATTGGGTTATTAATTTTATTCTTTCTCTGATTGGACTGAAGACTAAATAGTTAATAATTTTACAATTAAGCTTAGTTGCTAAGGAGTTAAAAATGTTTTAAGGACTAGATAGATGTTTTTAGGTTGCTAGATGCAATATATGTTAAAATACAAAATTTTAAACTCTCATAGACAGGATAGATATTTTCTTCAAGGTAGCCAAATACATTTAGACTAGACATTACATGTATGTTTTACCTATTAGTATTTATAATTGTTTCATAATTGTTCTTACTGTACATTATATTGAAAAATGGCCTTTTTTATTTAGGCAGTAAAGGGGAATTGTTGGGGGTTGGTCTGGTTAATTGCTTTCCTCCACGAGGTCTCCTTGTTGGTTCTTATAAACAGATACTCAGGAACCCCAAATGATTTGTAAACTTTCCTCTCTGTTTGACCAATAAAATGCTGACATATCTGGAAAAGACAGACAGGGTAGATGAGGCCCAGGTTCTTGGGATCTTGGGAGGAGAGAGAAAAGAAAAGAAGAAGGAAGGAGAAAGACACAATGGGTTAGTGTGGAAGGAACCCCATGGATCAGGAAAAAGGACCCTAAGAATGGCTTGATAGGATTGGTCCAGATGCAGAACATTAGCAAATATTTGGGATTATGGATGGGAGGTAGCTCAATTAGGGATGATGAAAGCAGATGGAATGTGATGAGGGCTGTGAGATATGAGGTAGCGTAGGTGGAATTATCTCAACACCTCAAGGTAATATGAGGCAATCTAAAGTTTATCAGGTGTCTGTGAACTGATTGTGATAGTGGGTTGGATAATACCACCATAGTAGTTACAGGGGTAATAATAAACATAATTAGCATGTACTTCTGAAATTACCACAATATGTGGGAGGGCATACTATGGCTGGTGACATCACTGGGCAATGAGACTTGTGTTGCATGAAAAAGCAGGCTGGACAAGCCATGAGGGCAAGGCAGCAAGCAGTGCCCTTCCATCAGCTCCTACCTCCAGGTTCCTGCCCTGTTTGAGTTCCTATCCTGGCTTCCTTCAGTGATGGACAGTGATGTGGAAGCTTGAGCCAAATGACCCCTTTCCTCCCAGTGTAGTTTTTGGTCATGCTGTGACAAGTGTAACTGTACCTAAGACAGGTTCATTATGTTCTTTATTTCTTTTGGCTTACTTGCTTTGAGACAGGATGTCTAGGTTATTTCTAATAAGATTAAAATACTAAAACATTAGTTATACAGAAATTTAAGGTTTATATTTTGGTATTTTGTTTTGTTTAACAACTAAGTATGGGAAGAAGGTGTGACATGTTTTATTGGGATGTAGAAAGAGAAGTATAGAATAGAAAAATGTGTGAAGGCAAATGATAGTGGTTGTTTGATTGTTTGGTTATTTGTTTTCCTAAAGATGACTGTGTTCTCAATATAGGAAAGAGATGTAAATCCCACAATGATGGAAACTTTTAGAGTACTTGTGAATGGTTTTCCTGCATAAGAATTTCAGAAAGGCTTCTTGTAGGAGCACAGAGGTCTTTGAGTTCACAGATGGGCACTAGCAGAACCTGGAATGTAGTCACACAGAGTTGTGCCTTCAAGGCAAGATTACACTATTGGGTAAACTGAGTCAAGGCATAGCTACAGCTGCTGGCTGGCTGCCCAACAGTGTTTTTCTGAGGGTAAATATATGGGCCAGAACTGATAGTTACCAACCATGGCTTCCACTGAGAGTGGCAAACTAAGAAGCCAGAACTGGTAGCCTCCTGGTGTGGGCTTACACCTATTGCAGTAAGTGCTGGCTAGGGCTCTTTTCTCTAGCGGGGGCTTTCCCCTGGTGGCGGCAAAGAGACTAGAAAAGTAAAGAAAGATGGAGAGAAAAGACCATATGCACACATACATGTACTTACACTTGATGAAGTAAGACAGACTCCAGCATTTAGACTCCACAAGCTTATTTTCTAGCTTCTATTAGTTTACACACACACACACACACACACACACACACACACACACACACA